AATGCAAAGCAGACCCAAGAACAGAACTGCCCCCGATAAAATGTGTGAGTGTGCGTGTGTGTGTACGTGTGTGTGTGAATGGGTTTAGAGAGATGGGTATCAGATAATCCCAGCAGGGTTTCGTTATAGACCTACCTCTTTTTAAAGAGCCTGTGCCAGCGATTCGGCCTAAATACTGCCTTGGATTTGTCTATTTCTTCTGCATCCGTAGACACCATTAGTCTGTGTGATTAATGGGGGCTGAGCTAGAGCTGTGTTTGTGAGAAAAGGGCGGATCCCGAAAGGGTCTGGGGCCGGGTCTTTTATACAAAAACGTAGTGTAGAGTCAGAATGGTTTGAGCTACAAACCATTAAAACCTATCTATGAAAATATGTTTTGCTATATGACACTCACAAGCCCCACAAGAGTTGTTAGAAGGTAAGGGGTTCTTCTACATAGAAGATCATAGGAAATCCCAGGACATAGTATCTACAAAACTGTAATCAGCTGACATAGTTGCTGTCACAAACTCCAAACTCCACACAGTTGTCAAATCAAATTACATTTTATTTGTCACATACACGTGTTTAGCAGATGTTATAGTGGGTGTAGCGAAATGCTTGTGCTTCTAGCTCCGACAGTGCAGTAATATCTAACAAGTAATATCTAACAATTTCACAACATATACCTAATACACACAAAACTTGTAAGGAATGGAATCTAAGAAAATATACATATATGGACAAGCAATGACAGAGCGGCATGGACTAAGACACAGTAGAATATTATAGAATAGAATGCAGTATATACAGTGAGGGAAAAAAGTATTTGATCCCCTGCTGATTTTGTACATTTGCCCACTGACAAAGAAATGATCAGTCTATAATTTTAATGGTAGGTTTATTTGAACAGTGAGAGACAGAATAACAACAAAAAAATCCACAAAAATGCATGTAAAAAATGTTATAAATTGATTTGCATTTTAATGAGGGAAATAAGTATTTGACACCCTCTCAATCAGAAAGATTTCTGGCTCCCAAGTGTCTTTTATACAGGTAATGAGCTGAGATTAGGAGCACACTCTTAAAGGGAGTGCTCCTAATCTCAGTTTGTTACCTGTATAAAAGACACCTGTCCACAGAAGCAATCAATCAATCAGATTCCAAACTCTCCACCATGGCCAAGACCTAAGAGCTCTCCAAGGATGTCAGGGACAAGATTGTAGACCTACACAAGGCTGGAATGGGCTACAAGACCATCGCCAAGCAACTTGGTGAGAAGGTGACAACAGTTGGTGCGATTATTCGCAAATGGAAGAAACACAAAAGACCTGTCAATCTCCCTCGGCCTGGGGCTCCATGCAAGATCTCACCTCATGGAGTTGCAATGATCAGGAGAACGGTGAGGAATCAGCCCAGAACTACACAGGAGGATCTTGTCAATGATCTCAAGGCAGCTGGGACCATAGTCACCAAGAAAACAATTGGTAACATACTACGCCGTGAAGGACTGAAATCCTGCAGCGCCCGCAAGGTCCCCCTGCTCAATAATATAATATAATATGCCATTTAGCAGACGCTTTTATCCAAAGCGACTTACAGTCATGTGTGCATACATTTTTACGTATGGGTGGTCCCGGGGATCGAACCCACTACCCTGGCGTTACAAGCGCCATGCTCTACCAACTGAGCTACAGAGGACCTCAAGAAAGCACATATACATGCCCGTCTGAAGTTTGCCAATGAACATCTGAATGATTCAGAGGAGAACTGGGTGAAAGTGTTGTGGTCAGATGAGACCAAAATGGAGCTCTTTGGCATCAACTCAACTCGCCGTGTTTGGAGGAGGAGGAATGCTGCCTATGACCCCAAGAACACCATCCCCACCGTCAAACATTGAGGTGGAAACATTATGCTTTGGGGGTGTTTTTCTGCTAAGGAGACAGGACAACTTTACTGCATCAAAGGGACGATGGACGGGGCCATGTACTGTCAAATCTTGGGTGAGAACCTCCTTCCCTCAGCCAGGGCATTGAAAATGGGTTGTGGATGGGGATTCCAGCATGACAATGACCCAAAACACACGGTCAAGGCAACAAAGGAGTGGCTCAAGAAGAAGCACATTAAGGTCCTGGAGTGGCCTAGCCAGTCTCCAGACCTTAATCCCATAGAAAATCTGTGGAGGGAGCTGAAGGTTCGAGTTGCCAAACGTCAGCCTCGAAACCTTAATGACTTGGAGAACATCTGCAAAGAGGAGTGGGACAAAATCCCTCCTGAGATGTGTGCAAACCTGGTGGCCAACTACAAGAAACGTCTGACCTCTGTGATTGCCAACAAGGGTTTTGCCACCAAGTACTAAGTCATGTTTTGCAGAGGGGTCAAATACTTATTTCCCTCATTAAAATGCAAATCAATTTATAACATTTTTGACATGTGTTTTTATGGATTTTTTGTTGTTGTTATTCTGTCTCTCACTGTTCAAATAAACCTACCATTAAAATTATAGACTGATCATTTCTTTGTCAGTGGGCAAACATACAAAATCAGCAGGGGATCAAATACTTTTTCCCTCACTGTACATATGAGATGAGCAGTGCAAGATATGTAAACATTATTAAAATGACTGTAAACATATTTAAAGTGACTATTGTTCCATTTCTTAAAGTGGCCAGTGATTTCAATAGGCAGCAGCAGCTGCTATGTGCTAGTGATGGCTATTTAACAGTCTGATGGCCTTGAGATAGAAGCTGTTTTTCATTCTCTCAGTCTCAGCTTTGATGCACTTGTACTGACTTCGCCTTCTGGATGATAGCAGGGTGAACAGGCAGTGGCTTGGGTGGTTGATGTCCTTGATGATCTTTTTGGCCTTCCTGTGACATCGGGTGCTGTATGTGTCTTGGAGGGCGGGTAGTTTGCTCCGATAATGCGTTCGGCAGACCACACCACCCTCTGGAGAGCCCTGCGGTTGCGGGCGATGCAGTTGCCATACCAGGTGGTGATACAGCCGACAGGATGCTCTCAATTGTGCATCTGTAAAAGTTTGTGAGGGTTTTAGGTGCCAAGCCGAATTTCTTCAGCCTCCTGAGGTTGAAGAGGCTCTGTTGCGCCTTCTTCACCACACTGTCTGCGTGGGTGGACCATTTCAGTTTGTCGGTGATGTGTACGCCAAGGAACTTGAAGCTTTCCACCTTCTCCTCTGTGGTCCCATCGATGTGGATAGGGGCGTGCACCCTCTGCTGTTTCATGAAGTCCACAATCATCTCCATTGTTTTTTTTACGTTGAGTGAGAGGTTATTTTCCTGGCACCACACTCCCAGAGCCCTCACCTCCTCCCTGTAGGCGGTCTCGTCATTGTTGGTAATCAAGCCTACTACTGTTGTGTCGTCTGCAAACTTGATGATTGAGTTGGAGGCGTGCTTGGCCACGCAGTCATGGGTGAACAGGGAGTACAGGAGGGGGCTGAGCACGCACCCTTGTGGGGCCCCAGTGTTGAGGATCAGCGAAGTGGAGATATTGTTTCCTACCTTCACCACCTGGGGGCGGCCCGTCAGGAAGTCCAGGACCCAGTTGCACAGGGCGGGTTCAGACCCAGGGCCTCGAGCTTGATGATGAGCTTGGAGGGTACTATGGTGTTGAATGCTGAGCTATAGTCAATGAACAGCATTCTTACATAGGTATTCCTCTTGTCCAGATGGGATAGGGCAGTGTGCAATGTGATGCCGATTGCATCGTCTGTGGATCTATTGGGGCGGTAAGCAAATTGAAGTGGGTCTAGGGTGACAGGTAAGGTAGAGGTGATATGATTCTTGACTAGTCTCTAAAAGCACTTCATGATGACAGAGGTGAGTGCTACATTGCGATAGTCATTTAGTTCAGTTACCTTTGCTTTCTTGGGTACAGGAACAATGGTGGCCATCTTGAAGCATGTGGGAACAGCAGACTGGGAAAGGGAGACTGAATATGTCCATAAACACACCAGCCAGCTGGTCTGCGCATGCTCTGAGGACGCGGCTAGGGATGCCGTCTGGGCCGGCAGCCTTGCGGGGGTTAACATGCTTAAATGTCTTAATCACATCGGCCACGAAGAAGGAGAGGCCACAGTCCTTGGTAGTGGGCCTCGTCATTGGCACTGTGTTACCCTCAAAGCGGGCGAAGAAGGTGTTTAGCTTGTCTGGAAGCTAGACGTCGGCGACGTGGCTGGTTTTCCTTTTGTAGTCCGTGATTGTCTGTAGACCCTGCCACATACGTCTCGTGTCTGAGCCGTTGAATTGCGACTCCAATTTGTCTCTATACTGATGTTTTGTCAGTTTAATTGCCTTGCGGAGTGAGTAGCTACACTGTTTGTATTCTGCCATATTCCCAGTCACCTTGCCATGGTTGAATGCGGTGGTTCGTGCTTTCAGATTGGAGCGAATGCTGCCATCTATCCACGATTTCTGGTTAGGGTAGGTTTTAATAGTCACAGTGGTTAGATATAAAAAAAAATTGCGGACCTTATTTTTTACATTTACATTTGTCAATAAAACTCATGAATGCAACTGTTTATGTCAAATAGTTTTGTGTTCTACATTTAGCCCTGGTTGTCCTGAAAATAAAATGGTAGAACACTTAATTGTGAGGCTAAATATAAGGGCTGGATGAATGAAAAGCAGATTTATGCTGGGATCTCGGGACAAATAGGGTTAAGTCTTTTTGAGCTTGACGTCCTCGGTGTATCATAGTATCATGTTTTTCCTGACCCCATGACCTGACCAGGTAAAAGTCCTGGACCCATTCATAGTTGCCGAGCTACAAAGTCTTGCACATTCTGCAAATGCTAACTTCCACATAAGTCAAATATTCACTTTGTCTCCCATTGACACCAATGCATGACTAAGGGCTGGATCTTCCGCGATACTTCTGCAATACGGATTGAATCCAGCCCTAAGTGAAAATTCGACTTAAATAAAAGTTACGATTCACCTCTCTGTGAGATTCCCAATCCCATCAACATTCCCATGTTGTTCCCTGTTGTACAGGAGATGCTGAAGGATGAAGTGCGAACCCTGACATATAGGAATGCCATGTACCACAACAAGCACATGTTCAAGGACAAGATAGTTCTGGATGTGGGCAGTGGGACAGGCATCCTGTCCATGTTCGCTGCCAACGCGGGCGCCAGACACGTGTACGGGGTGAGAGTCCTTCTCCTGTTTTAAACACCAAACACCTTTTTCACACTGCAAAGCCAAGCTGAGCTGAGCCAAGCTGTACTGAGCCATGTTCAGATGCCAAACGTTGTCGAACGTTGCAGATAGAAATTTCATGAATAGAGCTGATATGATTCCTTATTCTACATGTCAGAGAGGCATGTTCGTTCTACATAGCCTATTTCTATAAGAACGTTCCAAAATGTTGCGTCCTGCTGAACGCGCCCCTGGCTATGCATTTAACAGATGCCTGTTTCACACTACAGGGCCGACCTGAACCATACCCTGCTACTTTTTATACTTTCGTTTCACGTTGTCCTTTTCCAGCGTGGTTCAAGCAGCTATGGTGGATGCGTAGCCAGGCCAGCCCAGATTGGCATGGCTTGGCTCGGTTTGGCCCTGTAGTGTGAACCAGGCTGAGGAAGACTTGATGGTTGATATTCATCTGTGGTACAGTCGTCTGATCTGTCTGTTGAGTTGGAGTGGATGTAAATGATACAAGTCCTGGTGGGTGTAGCACATCTCTCCCTCACTGACACTTGCTCACACACACACACACACACACACACACACACACACACACACACACTGTTATTAGCTTGATTCCCTTAGGGCACGGCTTGAAGTCTCATTCACAGGAAATACATTATCGGCCCTCACATTTCCCTCATCATATGAATCATATATAACACTCATGGATGAGAGAGGGAAATGGTACATGAATAATGATCTTGATAAAGTGGAGATTGGATCTAGGATGAGTGGTAAAGCAGCAATGATTGCAGTGGGTGTCCTTGTGTGTGTGAGTGTATGTGTGTGTGTGTGTGTGTGTGTGTGTGTGAGTGTATGTGTGTGTGTGTGTGTGTGTGTGTGTGTGTGTGTGTGTGTGTGTGTGTGTGTGTGTGTGTGTCCATACCTGTAGAACTAATGTCAGACCTAACATTCATCAACGAGTATGTAGGTGATGTGCACAGCATTTCTCCGCTGAATAAACCACAGGAGCAGTATAAACCTACTGACATTCATCAAACCTGTGTGTTCCCTCTTGTTATGTGCCCCAGATTGAGTGTTCCAGTATATCAGAGTATTCTGAGAAGATCATCAAGTCCAACCACCTACACAATGGTAAGAGATTCACTACAAATCAATCATCTATATAGCTAGGTTCACACAGGGTAGCCGACATGGCTATATCCTGTCAAAGTTACATGTTACGAGTTAACTAGTCAAGGGACAAAGATTTGGGGAGGATAAACTGATTCTAGAACTGTGTCTAAAGGCAACTTGTACCCACAATATGGTACACATAACAGGCTACTCATGTTCTATTGATCATTAGGACTATATGGGCGCAGTGGGGGAGACAGCTGGCTTACTGAGAGATAACAGAATATATATATTAACATTGATAAAGTATCAATGAAAGAGACAGAGAGAGGAGGGATAGAGAGAGAAGGAGGGGGGAGAGAGAGAGAGAGAAGGAGGGGGGGGGGGGGGAGAGAGAGAGAGATAGAGCTATTCAGAAAGACATCTTCACCCTGGACTCTGGCTGGCAGCTCTGTCTGGCAGCTCTGCTCCCAAACAAAACATCCCTAAACTGAGACATCAATCAAAATGAGCTGGATGCCGCTGATCATCACTCTGAAATGTCACCTTGATGGAACTCCACAGATGGCGTTATAATTGAGTGACCCAGAGGAGTGTTTGGTGGAGTGGAATATTTGGTGTAGTGTACTGTTTAGAGGAGTGGAGTGTTTAGAGGAGTGGAGTGTTTAGAGGAGTGGAGTGTTTGAACTAGTGGAGTGTTTAGTGTAGTGGAGTGCTTAGTGTAGTGGAGTGTTTAGTGTAGTGGAGTGTTTAGAGGAGTGGAGTGTTTAGAGGAGTGGAGTGTTTAGAGGAGTGGAGTGTTTGAACTAGTGGAGTGTTTAGTGTAGTGTACTGTTTAGAGGAGTGGAGTGTTTAGAGGAGTGGAGTGTTTAGAGGAGTGGAGTGTTTGAACTAGTGGAGTGTTTAGTGTAGTGGAGTGTTTAGTGTAGTGGAGTGTTTAGTGTAGTGGAGTGTTTAGTGTAGTGGAGTGTTTGATCTAGTGGAATGTTTGGTGTAGTGGAGTGTTTAGTGTAGTGGAGTGTTTAGTGTAGTGGAGTGTTTAGTGTAGTGGAGTGTTTAGTGTAGTGGAGTGTTTGATCTAGTGGAATGTTTGGTGTAGTGGAGTGTTTAGAGGAGTGGAGTGTTTGATCTAGTGGAATGTTTGGTGTAGTGGAGTGTTTAGTGTAGTGGAGTGTTTGGTGTAGTGGAGTGTTTAGTGTAGTGGAGTGTTTGGTGTAGTGGAGTGTTTGGTGTAGTGGAGTGTTTGGTGTAGTGGAGTGTTTAGTGTAGTGGAGTGTTTAGTGTAGTGGAGTGTTTGATCTAGTGGAGTGTTTGGTGTAGTGGAGTGTTTAGTGTAGTGGAGTGTTTAGAGGAGTGGAGTGTTTAGAGGAGTGGAGTGTTTGATCTACTGGAGTGTTTGGTGTAGTGGAGTGTTTAGTGGAGTGTTTGATCTAGTGGAGTGTTTAGTGTAGTGGAGTGTTTGGTGTAGTGGAGTGTTTAGTGGAGTGTTTGGTGTAGTGGAGTGTTTAGTGTAGTGGAGTGTTTAGTGTAGTGGAGTGTTTCTCTAGTGGCGTGTTTGGTGTATTAGAGTGTTTCGTGTCGTGGTCGTGTTTCTAGCTGGCGTGGCTTGTTTGCCTCTCGTGGCGTGTTTGGTGGCGTGGCGTGTTCGTGTCTTGCGTTGATTTAGTGTCGTTGCGTGTTTGATCTCGTTAGTGTTTGGTGTAGTGCGATGTTTGTGTTTCGGATGGGCCTGGTTTGGTGTCTGGCGTGTTTCTTGTATGCTTGTTTTCGAGGATGGAGTGTTTCTTGTAGTGGAAGTGTTTAGTGTCTGAGTTTTTGCTCTAGTGGAGTGTTTGGTGTAGTGGAGTGTTTACTACTGTATGGATTGTTTAGAGGAGTGGCGTGTTTGATCTAGTGGAGTGTTTGATCTCGTGGAGTGTTTTGGTGTATGGAGTTTTGTGTTGTTCAGTGACATTCTGTGGTCCCCTGTCCTTCAGTCATCACATCTTCCAGGGGAAGGTGGCGGAGGTGAACTGCCAGTGGAGAAAGTAGACATCATCATCTCAGAGTGGATGGGCTACTGTCTCTTCTACGAGTCTATGCTCATACGGTCATCTTCGCCAGGGACAAATGGCTAGTAAGTGTGTGTGTTTGTTTTTGTGTATGGGTGTGGGTGTGTGTGTGTGTGTGTGTGTGTGTGTGTGTGTGTGTGTGTGTGTGTGTGTGTGTGGTGTGTGATAGGCAGAGCGAGAGAGCGAGCGAGAGAGAAGAGAGGTTGGGGGGGGGGGGGGGGGGGCGCGCGCGCGCCTGAGAGCGCGCAGCACGTCGCTCGCGCTCGCTAGAGCTGGGAGGGCGCGCGCGAGACTGACTCGACGAGCGTCGCGCGCGCGATCGCGCGGGGGGATCAGCGCGCCCGGCTCCGCGAGCGCAGATAGAGAGAGATAGAGAGAGAGAGAGGAGTAATAACATTGTAGGTCTACATGGTTGGTCACTCTGTTGTAAAATGCTGATAAAGGAGATTTTCCTGGATTATAGAAGATGAGTGATATAGGGGGGGTGGGGTTGCTCAAAAAAAATTATAATCACAGTTTTTGTTTTTTGGGTATAGGACGTTTTTTCTTTCGGGGGTCTCTCCACGTAACTGTGTGCTGTACTTGGGGTTGTTGCAGGCAGCATCAATAATCTAAGTAGCCGAGAAAAAAGAGAAGGTAAGCGACAGCCTGAAAATAGTAAGAGAGCAGTGATGAAAGGGAGTGTGGAAGCAGAACTCAAAGGGTAGAGATTAGGGGGAAGGGGTAGAGAAAAAGGGGGGGGGGGAGGAGGAGGCTAATGAGGAGGGGCCTAACGGGTCGAAGTGGGAGAGCCCAAAGCGAATGGAAAAAGAGCAAAAAAGAAAAAAGGGAAGAAAGGGAGGAAGGTAAAGCTAAGAAGGAGAAAATGGGCGTAACCAACCCCAAGGAGAAGCCTGAGAGTTGGAAAATCGTACAAGTCGCGATCCTAGTCGACTACCCATCTGACTCTCAATCCACATTTGATTGACTAAACGTTCAAATCCTGTGTGCTGCAATGATAAGTGTTTTGCGGTGACAAATAATAGGATCAACTTAAGCTTCCTCCTCGCCTTTAATTCTTTCATGTGTTGTATCCGACACCTCTACTTACTAGTTTATCCTTGTCATCTGCTCATGCTCCCCATGTTTCTCCTTCCTCTCTCTTTTTCAGTGTTGCTGCTTCAAAGGTTTTAAGACCGTGTATGCTCTAACTTTATCAATCCAGGATCCCAGGTTGCAGACAATGCCTGTGACGTAGGGATGCCTCTATTTCTCTATGGGTGTATCCTCATCTCAAGCTAAATGTATTTGTTTTCTCCTCTCACATTCAGAAGCCTGGAGTGCTGATTTTCCTGCAGGGCTTCCCTGATGTGGTTTCCCATCGAGTACATGCATTAACAAGTAGGACTTCAATATACACTTGAGACGTCCTTCCATCCCCATTCTTAGCTACTTGTGTGTATACTGTATGTATGCTGGATGTATCTTATCCTCTCCTCTTCCATGGGCTTCGCCCCCTCCAGCCTCTGGTTAGACCTACAGAGACTGTGTATAGGAGGGATGGGAAGGAGAAGGGATAGCCTGTCTGCTCTGTTCTCAATCCTAGCTGAGTAGACCTATACTACAAGGCTTCCAGACAAAGTGGGAAGCGTATTTAGGCCCCTGTTTTCACTAAAAATGGACCACTAGATATACATACTCTAAGGGAGAAGGGTGGAAGGACTGAGACCACCGATGAACTTTTTTTGGTCAACTGTAGACCGCTGTGGGTTTTATTTTCTTCTGGTTTCCTGAGGGTGTTATCGATTCTAGTATGGACAGGGCGGCCACTAGAGAATAAAAACAGTTTTAATCCTCAATCTACACTTAGACACTCTTCCCACCCCAAGCACATTACCATTAACATAGTGTGTCTGTCCACCACTTAGAGACGGGTCTGTGTTGTGATGACCACCACTGAGAGAGAGATTCGGGTGGGGGTGATTGACCACCAAAGGGGGGGGCGGTGTGGGGGAAGGAGTGGGCGTGCTGGGTGGGGGGTCCTGTGTGAGGACCACCACATGAAGAGAGGTCCGGTGTGATGACCACCACTGGTAGAGCGATAGTCGTTGATGACCCACCACGTGTGGATAGAGTATGTTGAGACAACACTGGGAGAGAGAGTCTGTGTTATTACCCCCACTGGGAGAGAACGATTCTTGTGATGACCACCACTGGGAAGAGATAGTCTTTGTGAGTGACCACACACTGAGAGAGAGAGTCGGTGTGATGGACCACCACTGGGAGAGATAGAGTCTGTGGATGACCACCACTGGGAGAGAGTTCTGTTGATGAGACCACTCACGGGAAGAGAGAGTCGTGTATGACCACCACTGGGAGAGAGTCTGGTGTGATGACCACCCCTAGGGAGAAAAAAAAGGAGTTCTGTGTGATGACCACCACTGGGAGAGAGTCCTGTGTGAAAATGACCACCAACCACTTTGGAGAGAGAGTCTGTGTGATGACCACCACTGGGAATAGAGTCTGTGTGATGACCACCCACTGGGAGAGAAGAGTGTGTGTGTGTTTACCACACTGGGATAGTAGTATGTTTGATGACCACACTGGAGAGAGGATTGATGACCACCACTGTGAGAGAGGGTCCTGTGTTATTACCCCCATCTGGTAGAGAGACGTGTGTGTGTGTGACCACCACTGTGATAGAGCAGTCGTGGATTGACCACCCTGAGAGAGAGAGTCTGTGTGGATGACCCCACTGGGAGAGAGATCTGTGTGTGAAACCACCACTGGGAGAGAGAAGTGTGGGGTGTGTTTTGCCCACCACTGGGAGAGAGAGTCTTGTTGTGGCATACCAACCACTGGAGGAGAGTTCTGTGGTTATGCCCACCACTGAGAAGAGATCCTGTGTGATGACACACCACTGTGGAGAGGATTCTGTGTGTTACCACCACTGGGAGAGAGAGTCTGTGGATGACCCCCACTGAAGAGGAGAGTCTGTGTGATGACCACCCCTGGGAGAGCGAAGTCTGTGTGATGAACCACCACTGGAAGAGATTCGTGTGATGACACCACTCTGAGAGAGAGTGTCCCTGTGTGATGACCACCACTGGGAGAGAGAGTCTGTGTGATGACCACCACTGGGAGAGAGAGTCTGTGTGATGACCACCACTGGGAGAGAGAGAGTCTGTGTGATGACCACCACTGAGGAGAGAGAGGCGGTGTGATGACCACCACTGATCAGAGAGAGAGTCTTGTGTGATGACCCATCATGGAGAGAGTCTGTGTGATGACCCCACTGAAGAGATAGAGCTTGTGATGACCCCACTGAGAAGAGATAGTCTGGTGTGATGACCACCCACTGAGAGAGAGAGTCTTGTGGTGATGACCACCACTGAGAGAGAGAGAGGTCTGTGTTATGACCACCACTGAGAAGAGAGTCCTGTGTGATGACCCCACTGAGAGAGAGAGTCTGTGTTATGAACACCACGAGAGAGAAGAGTCTGTGTGATTACCATCAATGAGGAGAGTCTGTGTTATGACACCGTCCTTAGAGAAGAGAGTCTGTGTGATGACCATCAATATGAGAGAGAGAGTCTGGGTGATGACCGCCACGAGAGAGAGTCTGTGTGATGACCACCACTGCGAGAGAGATGTCTGTGTGCTGACCACCATGAGAGCGAGTATTGTGTGATGACCAGAAAAAAACCACTGGGAGAGACGTCCTTGTGTGATGACCACCACTGAAGAGAGAGGGCTGTGTGATGACCACACCACTGGGGAGAGAGAGTCTGTGTTTGACCACCTCTGGGAGAGAGAGTCTGTGTGAATGACCACCACTGTAGAGAGAGTCTGTGTGATGTAACACCACTGGAGAGACGAGTCCTGTGTGATGGACACCACTGGGAGAGAGAGTCCTGGTGGTGATGACCACCACTCTGAGAGAGATAGTCCTCTGTCTGTGATGACCACGCACTGGGAGAGAGAGTCTGTGTGATTACCACCCTGGGGAGAGAGAGTCCCTGTGGTGATGACACCACTGAGAGAGATTGTCTGTGTTATGTACGCACCACTGGGAGAGAGAGTCTTTGAGGTGATGGACCACCAGAGGGGGGGCTGTGCAGGGAGAGTGGAGGGGAGGGGGGTCTGTTGAGGGTGATGACCACCACTGAGAGAGATGAGAGGGGTCTGTGTGATGACGGGCACACATGATAGATATAGTCTGGAAGGTGTTAATTACCACCACGGGAGCGAGAGAGTCTGTGTGATTAACCATCAATGAGACGGAGAGTCTTGGTAGGATGATGCAACTCACCACTGAGAGACGAGAGTACGTGGGTGTGATGGCCCACCGACTGATGAGGAGATATGGGATGGGGGGTCTTTTGGTGAGATGACCACACTTGAAATAGAGTCTGTGTGGATGGACCACCACTGAGAGGGATAGAAATTCTGTGTGATGACCACCACTTAGAGAGAGTCTTTGTGATACCAACCGGAGGGACTGAGAGAGAGAGTCCTGTGGGATGACCACCGACTGATATAGAGATAGTCTGGTTTATGACCATCAATGAGAGAGAGTCTTAATGGTGATGACCACCATGAGAGAGAGAGAGTCCTTTGTGATCCATAATGAAGGCTATTCTGTTGTGATGACCCGCCACTGAGAGAGACGTCTGGATTTGAATGACCACCACTGATGGAGAGAGAGGTCTGGGGTGTGAATATACCACCACTGAGGGGGCGAGATTAAGGTGTGGGTGAAATACCACCACTGAGAGTGAGATACTGTTCATGGGGGTGTGATGACCACACGTTGATCGAGAGGGTCTGGGAGGTGGTTTAACGGCGACCACTGAGAAGAGATAGCCTGGGTGGGGTGATGACCATCAATGAGATAGAGAGTCTGTGGATGACCCCGGACTTGATAGAGAGAGTCTGTTGGATGACCATCCACTGAGAGAGAGAGTCTGTGGTGAGACCACCCTGAGACGAGAGTCCTGTGTTATGACCACCACTGAGAGGAGAGTCTGTGTGTTACCCCTCACTGGAGATAGATATCTTGTGATGACCACAACTGGAGAAATATCTGTGTGATGACCACCACTGAGAGAGAGAGTCGGTGTGATAGACCTCCTTGAGAAGAGGAGAGTTCTGTGTGATGACCATCACTGAAGAGATAGTCTGTTGTGAATGACACACCACTGAGAGAAGAGTCCTGTGTATGACCATCACTGAGAGAGAAGACGAGAGAGAAGTGTGTGTGGTGTGTTTGACCCCACTGAGAGAGAGTCTGTGTGGATGACCACCACTGAGAGAGAAGTCTGTGGATGGCGACCATCACTGAGCTGGTCGTAGCTGTGTTGAGGATGACCCGGGCAAGGACTGAAGAAGAGTCTGTGTGAGACCATCACTGCAGGAGAGGAGTATAGATAGAGGATAGAGTTGTTTGACCATCACTGAGAGAGGAGATTCTTGTGATGACCACCACGAGAAGAAGAGAGAGTGTGTGTTTTTACCATCTACCTGTAGGAGAGAGTCTGTGTGATGGCCAGTCACTGAGAATAGGATGTTTGTGTTGGACCATCACTTGAGGGAGAGAGAGTCCTGTGTGATACCATCCTGAGGAGAGAGTCTGTGTGATGACTCATCACGATAGCTATTCTGTGTGATGACCACCACGAGAAGAGAGAGTCTGTGTGGGATACCATCACTGAGAGATAGAGAGAATGGAGAGAGAGATAGGAGATGTGTGTTGACCACCACTGAGAGATAGTCTTGTGTGATGACCACCAATGAGAGAGATAGTCCCTGTGTGATTGACTCGACTGAGAGAGAGTCTGTGTGATTGACCACCAATGAGAAGAGTGTCGTGTGATGACCCATCGCTGAGAGAGAAATAGAGAGAGAGAGAGAGAGAGATCGAGTGTGTTGACCATCACTGAAGATGGAGTCTGTTAATGAGACCGACCACTGAGAAGATAAGCTCTAGTTGATGTGTTGACCATACACTGATTAGGAGGAGTCTGTGTGATGGCCCATCACTATGAGAGAGAGATTTGTGTGTGACCACCAGCTGAGAGAGTAGATCTGTGTGATGACCACCACTGAGAGAGAGAGTCTGTGTGATGGCCATCACTGGGAGAGAGCAAGTGTGTGTTGACCACCACTGGGAGAGAGAGTCTTTGTTGTATGACCAACCACTGAGAGAGAGAGTCTGTGTATGACATCACACTGAAGAGCGAGTCCTGTGTGATGACCACCACTGAGATAGAGAGTCTGTGTGAATGGACCACCACTGTGAAGAGGGTCTGTGTGATGCCCACACTGAAAAGAGAGATCTGTACAGTGATGACCACCACTGATAGAGAGAGGAGTCTGTGTGATACCATCCATGAGACTATAGATTCCTGTGTGATGACCACCACTGAGAAGGATAGTCTTTTTGATTACCATCACCGTATAGAGCTGATATTCTAGTGTGACTTAACCAACACTTTATATGAAGTCCTTTTTGATGACCACCACTGAGAGATCGAGTCCTTTTTGTTCCATCACTGATGGAGGAGAGTCTGTGTGATGACCACCACTGAGGAGAAAGATTATGTGTGATGACCACCACTGATATATATAGTCGGTTGATGACCACCCTGAATAGAGCGTACTAGTGTTATGACCACCACTGAGAGAGGAGAGGTCTGGTGTGATGACCATCACAAATAGAGAGAGAGTCCTGTGGGATGACGCACGGGGGGGCGGAATGAATAGAGAGAGTCTGTGTGATGACCACCACTGATATAAAGTCGTTTTGAAGACCACCGACTGCGAGAGAGAGTCTGTGTGATGAGACCATCACGAAGAGAGAGATAGTCTGTGTGATGACCACCACTGAAGAAAGAGTCCCTGTGTGATGACCACCCCTTAGATAGATGTCTGTGTGATATACACCAGCTGAGGAGCTGAGCGTCTTTGTGATGGGGGGGGTATCCACAGTCACTGAGATATGAGCAAAGGAGGGGTATACTTTGTGTTACCATCAATGAGGATGGAGAGTCTGTGTAAATTACCGGACCACTGGAGAGAGGAGAGTCGGTTGAGACCATCAAATGATATGAGAGAATTCTTTGATGATTACCACCCCCTGAGATAGTTAGATTCTGTGTGGGATGTGCTCCCGCGTGGTCGCATTTTTTCTACGATGCACTTCATGGGGGAAAAATGCAGTTGCTCGCTGTGCCACTAGAGATTCCTGGTTGTTCGAAATCCAGGCTTCTGTCGTAGCCATCCGAGCCGCGACCAGAGTAGGAAGACCCATCAGTATTTCGGGCGCGACAATTGTGCCCACGCGTCGTCTAGGGTAGGGGAAGGGAATGGCGGCAAGGGATGTAGCTCAGTTGGTAGAGCCATGGCGTTTGCCACGCCAATGTTGTGTGGATCGATTCCCAAGGTTGGCGTATGACAAATAAACTGTAATTCGCTCTTGGGATAAGAGCGTCTGCTAAATGACTAAAATGTACATGTAATTAATGAATGACCCACCACTGAGGACAGATGTCTGTGGATGACCACCCCGGCCTGTGAGACGATTCTGGTTAAGTGATTACCACCAATCTGCGGTCCGAATAGATCCTTTGTTATACCTGACCACTGAGAGAGATAGAGTCTGTGGAGCTGAAAAGAAAACCATCAATGATAGAGAGATTTGTGTCGATGGCAGGAACCACCACGACACTTATAGATATTATTCTTTTATTTTCTGTACAATCACGGTGTATATGGAAGAGAGTCTTTGGATGACCACCATCTTTAGAGAGAGTCTGTGGTGTGACCACCCCTTAGCGAGATGATATCTGTGTGAATGACCACTCACTGATCTATGCTATTTTCTGTTTTATTTCCGCACCGGCACTCTTCAGCAAAGAGTCGTGTGTATGTACCGGGGCACCACACTGAAGATAGAGATAGTCTGTGTGATGACCACACTATAGAAGAGATATTCTGTGTTATGACCATCACTGAGAGAGAGTCTTGTGTGATACCACCCACTTAGCATAGAGTCTGTTTGATGACCATCACTGTGAGATAAGAGAAGATTGTGTTGACCACCACATGAGAGAAGAGTCTGTTTTGATGACACCACTTATTGAAGAGAGTCTGTGTGAACCATCGCCCGATGAGAGTCTGGTGTGATGACCACCCTCTGAGAGAGATAGTAGTCTTCTGTGTGATTACCATCACTGAGAGAGAGAGAGAAGATAAAGTGTGGTTGGACCCTCACGAAAGGCTGAGAGAGATTCTGTGTGTGACCACCTGAGAAGTGAGAGAGAGGGTTTGTTTTTTTTTTTTACCACACTGAGAGAAGTCTGTGTGATGGGCCCCTCACTGATAGAGAGAGTTGTGTTGCCCATCACTGAAGAGAGCGTCTGTGTGATGACCATCACTGATATAGAGCGAGTCTGTGTGATTACAATCACTGGAGAGAGTCGTTGATGACCACCACTGAGAGGCGAGAGTTGTTTTGATGACGCATCACTGAGGAGAGAGTGTGTGACCACCACTGAGAGAGAGTCTTGTGAACCACCATGAAGATGAGAGTCTGTGTTATTACCATCACTGAGAGAGGTCTGTGTGGTGACCACCACACTGAGAGAGGAGAGGCTGTGTGATGACCATCACTGAGAGATAGAGAAAGAGGAGAGAGCAGAGAGAGAGAAAGTGGTTGACCACACTGAGAGGAGGTCTGTGTGATGACCACCACTGCGAGAGAGAAGAGCGTGTGTGTTTGACCATCACTGAGGGAGAGAGAGTATGTGGATGGCCCATCACTGAGAAGAGAGGTGTGTGTTACCCACCACTGAGAGAAGCAGTCTGTGTGATAAACACCACTGAGAGAGAGAGTCTGTGTGGATTGCCATCACTGGGAAGAGTAGTGTGTGTTGACCACCACTGGTGAGAGAGTCTGTGTTGATGACCACCCTGAGAAGAGAGAGTCTGTGTGGTATGACATCACTGAGAGCGAGAGTCTGTGTGTGACCACCCGACTGGAGAGCGAGAAGTCTGTTGATGACCCCACGTGAGAGAGAGAGTCTGTGTGATGGACCATCACTGAAGAAGAAGAAGCGAGAGATTGTGATGACTCACCCTGAGATAGAGAGTCTGTGTGATGACACGGGGCACTTTCAGACACAGAGTTACCATTTGGACTCATATCTGAAGTGTGTGTGTGTGTGTGTCCAGGGTGGGTAGAACGTGTACGGTTTTTGACATGACCTGCATCCGTAACGTGGCCATGAGAGAGCCCCTGGTGGACGTGGTGGACCCCAAACAGGTGGTGACCAACTCCTGCCTAGTCAAGGTCAGTGTGTGTGTGTGTGTTGTGTGTGTGTGTGTGTCTGTAATGAGCACCACTTGAGGCACAGAGTGTACAAGAGTCATGAGTGAATGTACACATCTGATAAACAGGGATGCCATTGTAATATCGTATAGTCTGTTTAATGAGACACGGCCAACCTTCCCACAATTCACCGCCAGTTCCCAAAAAAGGGCGGGCAGGTAGCCTAGCGGTTACAGCGTTGTGCTAGTAACCGAAAGGTTGGTAGTTTGAAATCCCTGAGCCAAAGGTGAAAAATCGGTCAATGTGCCCTTGAGCAAAGGCACTTAACCCTATTACTACCAGTGGTCGCCGGTTGAGTAATGGCTGGTCCGTGGACCCCACTCTCAGGGGAGAATGGATATGCAAAAAAATATTTTCCAATTTGCATATAATACACACTTGTTATTATTTATTGCATTCAAAATACACACTTGAAAAATGACTTTCCAAAATTGAAGTGTCACAGAGAGACAGCCAATAATTATGATGAGCCCAAAATGGGTTCCGTGTCCCTGTCTGTGATTTGCATGTCATTGAATGTGTCTAGACTGTACAGATTTCACAGTTTGACCCATGCCAGCCACCGTACCTGGGCCATAAATAGGCCTGGCACTCCCGGGTCTGTGTGACAGATTGGGATTTAACACTGATGTCCTATCCAATGACGGCCTGTCTGTCCTGTCCAATGACGGCCTGTCTGTCTGTCCAATGTCACAACAATCATCTAAGAGATAGAAAATGATGAGGAGAATATATCCTCCATTTCAGTGTGTGAGGCATGATATGAGATGCTGTGTGAATTATCTTGAGGAGGAAAGGATTTGATGCTGAGAGGTGCCATGCTTTCTAGGGTGTATGAATGAAAGGATGGATTGATTGAATTGAGAACAGATGAAGGAATTAAGGAATAAAACAGATGAGTGTTGGGTGGAATTGAATGAATAAAGATTGAACACAAAAATAGAAGGAGAGCTTAGTCAGGGACGGGTGTGGATTCAATTTCCAGTTACAGCCTAAAGTGCCTCTAGTGTGACAGAATACATTAGAGCTCCTGACACACAGCCAGAGAAACCTATTCACTGACTGGGGAAAAAATACTGCAGACAGGAGAGAGGCGGGGGGGGGGGGGGTAGGGTGGGGGGGGGGGGGGGGGGGGGGAGGTGGGGGGGTTGGGTGGGGGGTGGTTTTTGGGCGTTTTTTTTTGTGTTTTTTTGTGTTTTTGGTTTTTTTTTTTTTTTTTTCTTTGTTGTCTTTTTCTTTTCTTGTTTATTCTTTTGTATGTGTTTTTGTTTTTGTGTTTGTTCATTTTTTTTTTTATTCTTGTTTTTGTTTTTTTTGTTCCTTTTTTCTTTTATCGTTTTTTTTTTTTTTTTTTGTTTTTTTTGTGTTTCTTTCTTTTTTATTTTGTTATTTGTGTTTTGAGGACATAAGTTTTTTTTTTTGTGTTATTGTTTTTGTTTTTTTGTCCTTTTTGTGTTTCGTTGTTTTGTGTTTTTGTTTGTTTGGTCTATTTGTTATCTGTTGTTGTTTTTATTTTTTTGTTTTTTTATGTTGTAGCTGTTGGTGTTTTTTTGTTATTTTTGAATAGATATTTTGTTGTTTTTGTTTTTTTGTTGTTTTTTTTTTTGTTGTCTTTGTTGGTGTTGTTTGTTTATTTTTTTTGTATTTTTTTTTTATTTTGTTTTTTTGTATATTTTTATTAGGGGATTTTTTCGTTTATGTGTTTTAGTTGTATTTTGATGTGGTTTTTTTTTTTAGTTAGGGTTAGTTGGTCGTTTTTTTTTTTATTTTTTTTTTTTGTTGTGTTTGGTTATTTTTAGTTTTGTGTTGTTTTTATATTTGTTTGTTTTTTTTTTTTTTTTGTTAATATTGTTTTTTTTTTTTTTTTTTTGGTAGTTTTTATTTGTTGGTTGATTAAATATTTTTTTTTTTTATTTTGCTTATGATTGGTTTGTGGTGTGGTGTTTGTGTTGTGTTTTTTTTTTTATGTGTGTTTTTCTCTCTCTTTTCTCTCTCTCTTTTTCTCTCCTCTCTTTCTCTCTCGGCTCTCCTGTTTCCTCTCTCTCCTGCTCGCTCCTCTCTTTCTTCTTTCTCGTCTCTCTCGCTTTTTCCGATCTCTCTTTGGCCGCTCGCGCCCTTCTCTCGCTCTCACCCGTCTCTCTCTCTTCCTTCTCTCATCTCTCGTCTCTCTCTCTGCTTCTCTCTCTTGCTCTCCCGCGCGCGCCTCGCTCTCTATATTCATCTCGCTCGCTGGTTTAACGCTCCTCGCTCTTGGTTTTTCGCTCTCTCTCTCTCGCTCGCCTGCAATCAATAAAAAAGGATGTGTTTTTGATAGGACGTGCATTTGGTGTCGGTCTGACAGTGCTGTTTATGTAATGGAGAGTGATAGATGTAAGGAGAGAGAGAGAGATTGAGATAGATATACAGAATAGAGGAGAAAGGAGAAGTGTGTGTGTGTGAGAGAGATATCTTTCTTCCGAGTAGTCCCCCTGAACCATATTTCCCATGTAACCTATGACCCAGGAAGTGGACATCTACACGGTGAAGCCTGAGGACCGTCTTTTACCACGGCCTTCTGCCTGCAGATCCAGAGGAACGACTATGTCCACGCCATGGTCACCTACTTCAACATCGAGTTCACCAAGTGTCATAAGAAGACTGGCTTCTCTACCGGTTAGATCTCACCTCACCACACACATATGGGTTGTGTTCATTTGGCACCAAGAAGCAGAAAAACAGACTGAAACAGGGAAGGACTACCTGAACGTCCAATAAGAAAGACCTACTTTGTTTTCCCTTGCAAAACGTTTTGCTACGGTGTGCATAATGAACACGACCGCGATGTGACCACAATTCACATACCACTAACGCTAGGTCCTTTGAAATGAGGTGTATGACAATATAGGTTAAATGTCTTCCACCCAAGCCACTTGTGTTGTTATAAGGTCTCGAACCAGAAGCCACTAGAGATGACGTCACAATGGGAGATCTTTTACAGGGAGAGAACCACTGTGTTCAGTTTATGGGTCCTGTCCAGGTTATGCAACAATGGAAAGTTGTCATTTCAAACAGACATCAATCATTTTGTGTAAATCAGTCAATTGTAGCACTTGTACAAATAAGCCAGGGTGAAAAACTGTTCTCATACCTGTTGTTGCAGAGATTCTTGACTCTGTGGCAGTGATCCTTTGGTTTTGTTTGGAAGATTGTGGAAGCACAGCACATTTTTTGATTTTTGTAATTCTTCAAGGTTTTTGACAAGGGGAGGGGCGTATTATTGTGAGGTGTAGGTTTGAGGCTGATGATCAAAGGTACTGCTAGACATAAAAGCATTAGTAATGGCATCCTTTGCTGTTTCCTATAATGACAAGTTGACTCGGGTTATCTCAGCTCTTCACCCCCCTCTAGTGGTGCTAAGTGAAACTGCTAAGGTTAAAAATACAGACCAATGGTACTTTTTCTGTCTCTACCTCTCCTTCTGATTATTTCACTCTCCACCATCTCTGGGAAGATCTCAATTGCATACTCTTCGCGTCCTCTCTCCTTCTCAAAACCCATTGGAGGAGAAGGTCAGAGGGGCAGGACCTCTGGCTTTCTTATCCAATGGGTGTTGATAAGGCCGCGACCGGGAGACTAATGGGCGGCGCACAATTGGCCCAGCGTCGTCCAGGGTAGGGGAGGGAATGGCCGGCAGGGATGTATCTCAGTTGATAGAGCATGGCGTTTGCAACGCCAGGGTTGTGGGTTCGATTCCCACGGGTGGCCAGTATAAAAAAATATGTATTCACTAACTGTAAGTCGCTCTGGATAAGAGCGTCTGCTAAATGACTAAAATGTAAATGTAATAAGGAGACGAGGAGAGAGGGCGAGGAGTATGCAATTGAGATCTTCCCTGTCCTCGTCAATAATACCAGTATGCCATTTTCATCCTATCCTCAGCTCCATCTCCTCCTCCTCCTCTCTTGTTCCCCTCCTCTCTTCCATCTCCATCTCCTCCTCCTCTCTTGTTCCCCTCCTCTCTTCCATCTCCGCCTCCTCCTCTCTTGTTCCCCTCCTCTCTTCCATCTCCTCCTCCTCCTCCTCTCTTGTTCCCTCCTCTCGTCCATCTCCTCCTCCTCTCCTCTCTTGTTCCCACTCCTCTCTTCCATCCCTCCTCCTCCTCCTCCTATTCCCGCCCTCTTCTCCCATTGTCATCTCCTGAGGCCGCCAGTACCCACTGGAAGCAGACATGTTTTACCTGGATGACTACCTGACTGTGAGGAAGGGGAGAGGAATACTGGGGCAGCATCGCCGTCAGGCCCAACGAAGAACGTGGTGAGAGCAGAGCTACCTGTACCTAGAACTTACAAGCTCACACCAGCATCATAGACTCAAATGTGTTTAAAAATATCTATTTTTCGATAGTCCCCATCCAGCACTACTGGTATAGATGTCCCGGTCGTTAACATTATCTCTGACTATGTCTAAGAGTGAAGCCCTATAGGAGTATTATCTCAACAACCGCAAAGCCAACCCTGCCTGTTGCTGCACCACACACTTATTTGAAACTGTTAACGGTCTTAACATTTTAAGTCATTTAAGCAGACGCTCTTAACCAGAGCGACTTAACAGTTAGTGAGTGGATACATTTCATACTCTACAAATTGCTCCACGCCTTCTCCCTTACTTGAGGCGGTCACGATCGGAGAGGGTTGGATTGGTGAATGTAGTACAGTGAACTTCCCTCACTTATCCAACCCATATATTTTTCATGACTCGACCTTAAAAGATGGTGGAAAGAAGGATGTATTTTCGACAGCTTTCAAAAATTGTGCAAATATCCCAATGTTGTGTCCACTCAATACACTTTTCACACTACTAGCCACGCCGAGTTGTACCGTGCGGCCTGGTTACACATCCAGAGTTCTGAAACTGTTAGGAGTACATTTGAGAAGAAAATGCCAGAGGCAGCACCTTGCTGGGGGGTTCGGCATATTACTGTCAAATGGTATGTGGACTGAAGTCTTCTCTTGTATCCAGCGGGAACCATGAGTTCACCTTGATTTGCGACTTTAAACGGACAGCTTTGCGATGCGGCCTTTCCCACGACTACAGATGGTTAGTTGACCAGCAACGGTTTAATATCACCCATCTCCTCGCCCCCTATTGGACCCATTTGAGCGAGGGAGGGCACATGGATCTCCAACAGGGGGCCCTCCTATTGGCCCGAGGGGGACACGATATGCATCTGATTTGGATGACAGTGTTCCAGCACCCTAGTGGAGTGTCATAAGAAACAACCATTTCGAAGCAATAGCGCCTCACCTGCCACATTTTTAAAGCTGCCCTGAGAATGTAATCCCTGATGAACTTGATTTTTTATTTTATTCAGTTGAGTTTTTAGTGTTAGTTAGTACTAGACTAAATGAGGGTTAGAGGGATTAGATGCTGGTCCAGAGCAACTTTAAACTCAGAGCATGTATTTTATCAAGGACCCGACTGACACTACAACACCCTCTTTTCACTGATGTCTTTCTAAGTTCAACAAATTGCAGAACCCCTAAGAGTGTTGTAACAGGAAAGTCATTCAGTGTTTTGTTGAAGTTGTTAAGGTTAGGTATAT